TGGTTAAAATGAGAATCACAATTTATTTTGCTTTGCTTTATTTTGCACTATTTTCTCAGAATTCTATGAATGTAAAATAAAAGTTAATATGAGTATGCAATTTTAATTGTTATTTCGCAAACAAATCAGGGTATATGCACGAATCCTAATGATAATGTCATTACCTTTTTAAGAATTTTCAAAGACCTTCTCAGAATATTTTAAGACCTCATTTGCAGCTTCAAGTTTTAATCAGTAAACAAACATTAACTTGTTAAACGGTTGCTAATAAACAGTTGTAGTTTAATAAGTCAATGAAGCACAACCATGCAACAGAACTCGGATAAGCTCGGACGAAACAAAGCTTCAAAGAATAAATTATGTGGTTGTTTTCAGCGACAGGCTTCAGTCTTCAGTCATTGTTTAAACTCGTCTTTCTCCAACTAGGAGTACACAAACTTACATTTTGCCATCTGTTTTGCTCTATGGCTACATGTGCAGAGCGTTGCAAATTACGTGACCCTAGGCCAGACGCGCCCCAGCCCAAACTCATCATGTGGCTCGAGCACCCCAATGTTAATATTTAAAGTAAAATTTATATATTTGTGCTTTTTTGGAGTCAAACGCTTTGGACAGTCCTTGAACAAAAATTAAGATCTCATAAAAATGCGATTAAGACTTTAATACCTTTTAAGGGCCTTAATTTTCTTATATTTGATTTATCAACTTTAGAATACTTTAAGACCCCGCGGACACCCTGCAAATTGTAAAACAACAGTAATATTAGGCCTGTGTGTAGGTCTACTGTTGGTTAAAATGCTAAATTTTGTATAGAATTGGAATGGTGGACTTTAAATATTGTCATGTTTGTTAATTCAAAGTAAAGTAATGACATCAGAATATGACCATTCATAATTCTAACGATGATTTATGTTTGAGACATGTGCTTGTCATCTGTCATTGACAACAATGTAAAGACTTGTGCGACCGCCTTTATGCTTCTCTCCTGACCTTGAAAATATGATTGGCTAAATAGTAGAAAAGCTAAATTAAGATTGTGTGTAGGGTCGAATCGAGATCACAATCTTATTTCAATTAATAGTGCAGCCCTTATTCTTGCAATATAAAAATTTGTAAAAATAAACGGATTACTTGATTTTGGGAAGGCAACCCAGTCTCACCTACGAAATTCTAACTGAACAACTTCTAACTAACTACAATTAGACTGGACTCCAATACATTTGACCAATACAATACATTACTGATGGACAATATATTGGCAGCCATAATGGTAAAGCGTTGTTATTGGAAAATAAGATGTTGAAGTTGTGCATATTTCTATGAGAGCAAAAAAAAAAGATTTAAGAACTACAAATTTTAAATGATTTTGGGAAAATAACATAGATGTTTGTTTGTTTTTTTTGCAATTTTATGGCATTTAAATGAAATTACCCCTGCTTTTTTCATTTATTTATTATGAGGCTGAGAAAACTTAATATTTATCAGTCTCTCAATATATTGGTTATCTGCTTCCGAACAGAAATTGATTAGCAGGCGACTTTTGTGGATATTTCTAAGCCCAGAAAGGCAATATAGAAAGAATTTTCCTATTGAAAAAAAAAGATGAATAACACAAGAAACATTGTTATAGTTAAACATTTTTGTTATCACTAACAATATCGTTAAATTATCATTATTGTGATAATAGCATATGCTATACACGTATCAAAGATATTTGTGAAAAATTTAATTTATTTTATGCATTGGTTGTTTATCTAAATTTGACCAATAAGATGGGGCCTAACTATCTTTTTCCCTGTCTGTCCAGTAGTTGCTGTTCTGCTATTGGCTGGAGCGGTCCAAAGGTGAACCCAGAGCTAAAAATTAATACTTAAGGCTGGAGTCAAGACAAGGGAGGAAGATGGCAACAGCCAATCAGAGTCGGAATGTCTGCTGAGGATTACACTCATTCATAATGTTTTAAGGACTAAATGTTTGCACAGACACAGTTTTTTTAGCTGGAACTAGAATCAATTAGACTTAAAAAAAAAAAGAAAAGAAAAAAAATATATATATTACCACTTTATTTTAACATCATTAAATAAATAAATAATTTAAAAACATAGCTAGTAAAAATAGCATTTTTCTAGATAAGAAATAGCAATAGTCAATAACATCGCATAATTTTTCAGTATTATGCAGCCCTAATGGCCAGTTAGTATTACACTTTAATTCAGCATATCAGACAGTCTGATCAAAACTTGGATGGTTTTGGTGTTCTGATAAAAGAGTGTAACAGAAAGGTTTCCAACTATTAATGCAACAAACCACAAGTGCACTTGGACAAAAACTGGAACTGAGCCATGATGAAGGAAACGTCTCAAGAGGAAAAGTAAACAGCTTGGTTCCACTGCTGTAATCCCTGCAGATCTAATGAAGTGGGCGCGTGCAGCATTGTTGGGGTGTTTCCTCCAGAGGCAGACACCAGGATCCATGTGCGCCGGCCACACTTGACCCAGCACGTCACACTATGTGCTGCCCCCCCACTATCGCCACACAAAGGACATATTGTACCCCACAATGCAGGTCAGCTCTCCTTCCCAGCCTGGGACGGCTCTTGTTCCCTGGCCTCTGACAGATCTGGACAACTGCTCTGTCCTACTATGTGTCAGCTTCAGGAGATAATTCTGCATTGCATTAATGTCCAAAGCTTTCTCCAAATGCCCAAAGAATTTGGTTAATTCAAAGTTTGAATGATTGTTCACTACTAAGAAGAATCACCAATGTAAGAAGTCAAATGTGTGTATATGAGATGTAAAGGAAAAAAAGAAATTGTCAGGTAACTTGTAATACAATATAACTGTATATATATTCAGGGCTATTTTTATTTTATATATTTTTTTATCACGACAGGCCAAACAGGCTGCACTCGACACACTCGAAAATTCAATTTTTCCATTAAATTTGCATCTTAAAAAACAGAAAACACAATCCAAACCATGATGCCCACCAAACAAGTCCAAAAGATCTGAACAAAAAGTATGAGCAAACAGTTATGCATGGCTAAATTTGCAGCTCAGTGATTGTATAAGCTACTCAAAAACACTCCAAAATGCAGAAAGAATTAAACAGAGTTAAGAGATGAAATGATTACAGTTGTAATGGAGCACACCTTGCCAAACACATCTTAATCTGTGAGACAGTTGCCCACTGCGATATCCAACTGCCCCAGATTTACTAAGAGATGACTTAAAGATTATGACAGTGGTAGAAAAAAAGAAGCATGGTTGACCGAATCACAGAGTTAAGTCTGATCTCACCAGTCACAACTAGCCTTAACCTATCCGCTTTACTGAGTTAAGAAAACAATTGTCCAAGTAGACGAGTGATGAGGCTTACTTTCTGAGCTCTTACTATGATGGACAGAGGCATTAGACACGTGGTTTTATTGAAAATCTTGACTCACTAAATCAACACAAGTCAGTAGCTGAACAACACAGAATCTAATAGTAGTAGCTGAAGTATATTATCTTTCAACATGCACAGCAGGCCTAAAAAAAAGCTCAAACCCACCGCAGTGAAATTCGGAAAAACTCAGCCCTTTTTCTTTCCATCCTCAGGGCTTATCTGAGAATACCAGATGTGGCAGAGAAATCAATTTAACTCTCAGAGTGGAAAAACAAACTGAAATATAATAAATAGTACTGGAAATGGAGATCAGTCCATTTCTGCTTGCGTAACAAACTAAGTACACTACCTACCTTCGTAAATCCCAGTTGTAAGAGCAACAAATAATAACTTGACTTCTTGTTGATAATTTGGAAAAGTGTCAGAAGGTGGATTTTTCTGAGGAATCATCTGTTGAACTGCATCCCAATCATAAGAAATACAGCAGAAGACCTACTGCAACCCATATAGACTCAAGATTCTCAAAGAAATCAGTCAAGTTTGGTGAGGGAAAGATCATGGTTTGGGGTTACATTCAGTATGGGGGAGTGCGAGAGGTCTGCGGAGTGGATGGCAACATCAACAGCCTGAGGTATCAAGACATTTGTGCTGCCCATTACATTACAAACCACCCGAGAGTGAAAACACTTAGGATAGGATAGCGCTCCTTTTTATACTTCAGCCTCCACATCAAAGTTCCAGAAAGTTAAGAAGGTCAATATTCTTCAGAAATGGCCAGCCCAGTCACCAGACATAAACATTACTGAGCATGTCTGAGGTAAGATGGAAGAGGAGGCATTAAAGAATCCAAAGTATCTTGATGAACTCTGGGAGTCCTGCAAGAAGTTTTCTTTGCCATTCCAGATGACTTTATTAATAACTTTGAGTCTTTACAGAGATGTATGGATCCAGTCCTCCAAGCTCATGCAGTCATACACAATATTAATTAATTTTCCACTGCACCATGACTTTATATTCGATACTCTACATTATTTCTGTTAAGTGACAAGACTTTTGTCCAAGTAAGTTTTGTCTAATTAAATAATAATAATAATTTAATAATATCACATTTAATAATAATTAAGTAATTAAAAATCATGAACATATTTTATTTTGGTAAAATAAGTGAAATCTAGAGGCCTTTACCCATCATACAAGCCACTTCTGATACCAAATGATCAACTAGAAGTCAAGTTATTTTTTGTTGTTCCTAAAACTTGGACATGCGACAAGACTTTTGTCTGGTAGTGTACCGACAATACAATTTAAGGTTGGCTGAAACTTGCCGTAAGTTCAGATACAGCTTTGAGTATGGAATTCATGTAGGAAATTTAGTCTTGCTCAAAAGCACAAAAGAGAGAGACTTTTTTTTTTTAATTCAACACAGGGTGGTCTCATCTACACTACATCCATCAAAGCGAATGCTGAACAAAGATTAAGAAAACACAACACAGCCACTATTACTTTCACTGCAATATCATCAGGGGGAGTGCAGAATTCTGTGCTGTTTTTCTAACACATAGAGCCACTGAAAGGAAGGAATCTGAAGGAATACTTCACAAATGTGGTCTTACCTTGAAGCATGCATCTGTATGCCGATTCGGAAATGGCGTAGATATGAGGCGGCATCTCGTGCCTCTTCTTGCCCCTGTACATCTCGATGATGTTCTCAGAGTATATGGGGAGGTTTTTGTATGGGTTTATGACCACGCAGAAGAGTCCTGAGTATGTCTGTGCAACACAAGCCAAAAACATAAACACTTTGTTAATGAGATGCAATAAACTTTACTGTTCATTATTAATTTAAAACATTTTACATTTACATTTTGTTGCAGTTCATGAAGGGACAGTAAAACAGCAAGTTTCTAATATTAATATTAGCATTATTATTCCATGTCCAGAATATTGTACACATTGAAACACAATGAAGGTATTTTTCCCGAGCAATGCTGGCATGCATTCACAATGATTGCAGCTGTCGTGCAGCGATCACGCACTAAATTACAGAAGACAGTTACAAGATATTAACCCTTTACTTTCGGCGGTTTCACATACAAAACTGCAACTGTACACAACTTTCAACGTAGTTAGAATCATACCGGTCAACACTCCCATTTTCCCGGGATTCTCACATATTTTACAGTTCTATCCCGCTATCATCCCATATTTCTCCTGTATTTTCAGTGTTTCTCTGAAGGGTGGCAAATAAACATTAAAGAGCCGAGCCTGCTTATACTCAACCAATACCGCTGAACCACCAGGGGCCACCTCTTGCTCTTAAATGCGAGTCTGTTCTGTGCTTTCGCTTTTAGGCATGAAAACACTGAAATAAAAACAGCGCTATTCCCTTCCTTTTCATTACAGGTGCCATCTCCCCTTTATATGCAATTCATATATGACTGTCAGCTGACTCTATAGTGTTAAATAGACACTGTTTCCTAAACTGATTTAATTTCATCCTAAATGAGCATAAAAAGTTAGGAAAGCAACTGAATGCTTTCATTATAACGTTAGATGTGAGCATTTTTAAAGTGACAACTCTGTTATTTAATGTAATCAAACAAAAAAATCTAAATAATCATTCATTTGTTACCCTTTAATCAGAAAGTGTGAGTTATACAGTGAAGAAACGGCTAGTGGGATTTGATAGCTTGATTCTATTTCTATATAATAGCTATTAATTTTAATAAGCTGAACTGTTCGCTAATTTATTAGCCGCCAATGTATACTATTTATTTTTTCTTTTTTTAATAATAATAATAAAGATATTACTGACCCTTTAACTGTTTATTTACAACAAAGCAGCTCCAAATTAACATATTTAGTAGTTTTAGGAATTTTTAAAGGGGGTGTAGGGGAAATCCCTTTGGTGTGGTGGGCATATCCATTATTTTCACATACCTATGTTGACAGGTATGGTTAGAATGCATTTAAATTAGTGCAAACGTAGTGATAAGACTATATCTACAAAACAGCTTCAGTATTAAATAGTGTACACTCTACTATTCCACTGTCCTAAATAAGTCAAGCTTTAAATGAGTGGCTTTAAAAGACAAACACCCTAGTTTTTTACAATTTCACAATCGCTGATTCCAACGAAAAATCAACAAAGTCGCAAATTTTTGTGATCTGCAAAATAATCGCAAAAAATTAAATAATCTCTTAAAACATCTAATGTCAAACCATGTAATCCCGTTAGACATTGCATATGCAGCGCACGTGATGTATTTGAGTGTCTCTCAAAAAAGACATCTCACTTGCGTCCTCACAATCAATACAATAAACGAGAGAGGAGGAAATGTTTTGCAGACTGTGCAGTAAGCAGACGCGGATGAAGCGCGAGTGATTTACATGTGAAGGCAATGCAAAGATGCGATTAGACTTGCTGTGGCGCATATTGGTTGTTTTGTGCATTTGAAGCGCTTTAGACTGCAAATAAGTGAGAGCAAACATCTAACAAACGGATGGGACAGCCAGAAAACAGGAAACATTGAAACAATTTGATCACTTCATATAGCCTAATTTGCTCTTTTTGTAACAAATTTTGGTATAATTTGTATCTTTATTTTAATATATTTTTGTTGGTCAGTTATCCACAAAATAACAATAAGAACGAATGCATTTTAGGTGAAGTGATCATCAATAATAAGGGAATTATGAATTTAATTCAAGTAGGTCTGTTATAACATAAAATATAGTATTTCTGACAATTTTCTTTATTTTATAGATTTGAGTTATGATAAATTACAGTATTGCAATGCTACTTGGTATCACAATACTTCAGCTGGTATAGTATCGTAATGTGAATTAATAGTATCGCGACAACCCTACTTAACTGCGAAGTGACTATTGTAATGGGGCAATCAAAACAGTTTAGTCTATTTAACTTCTATTTAAAAAAACAAACAAACTTATTATAGATTGTGGTGTTACAATGAAGATTGTCATGTAATTTTAACCTTTTTTGTACAATAAGTGTATAAAATCCCTACAATATATTTGTTTTTAGAATCTTTATCATTATTTCACTGAACAACATTGGGCAAATACTGATTTTTTTTTTTGCCTAGTCCTGGATCCAGACACAAGGGTAAGGGGTAAATCAGGGGAGAGCTAATCCCGTCTAGCAAAGCGTCTTTTTTTATTGGCTGGGTTGTGTTTACGAGAGGGCATTTATATGGGTGTGGAAAAGTAGGGGGGGGGGGTGCACAGAGGACAGACCTGCCTACTTCCAACTCCTAACGCCCCACTAGACAAAGCCGCCCTGCCAAAGTAGATAGACAAAGTAGACAGAACAATAGACTTGAGACTCAGGAGACTTGTGGCTGGAAAGTTGTTTCTCCAGTATCGTCCTCCATGTTTTTCAAGCTATATATGAAGGAAAACAGCTTATCTCATATATAAGCTATGCACTAGTCCAATCAAAAGCAATTTAATCGGAGGGAGGTTTTTAGTACATATTTATTAAGAAAATTAACTTCAATATTGATACTCAAATATCATTTTCAAGAGTGTGCTCAAAATGTGTTGACAGATAAAGGGTTAAGAAACGTAACGTACTGCTTTAGCCATGATAAGGTACTCTGTTGTGAATGATGTTATGTCCCAAATCCTCAAAGCTTATGTAACTTATACTTAGCACATTTACGGTTTTAGATGCTAAATGTTTAGTAATCTACATACAATATCACTAACAAATCCATTTGAGTGGTCATGATTATAAACCATCCTCAACAGAGCTTGCTTAAGGCTCTAGATGTTAAGACAACTATCAACGTAGTAAATTTTGAATTTTGAAGGTCCTTTGAGACGCCTACAACATATTTTAAGTGTCTGGGAGTAATAGGAATTGATAAAAAATATATATATACATATACATATACATATACATACATATATATATATATATATATATATATATATATATATATATATATATATATATATATATATATATATATATTATAATAATGACCGTGGCCAATTGTCCTTATGGGTTAATCCAACGTAAAATTAAGATTCAGAAAAAGTAGCTGGCATATGACAATCAGACAGAAATTTTTGCTTTATTACTATTAATTTCTCACAATATGCATGCTTTCTCTGAGAAAGTAAAGAAGTAGTAGTATAATATGAGGAAATGTTCTCTATGAAATCTGAGATGTGAATACGGTTTCTGTAGATGCCATAATGCGTTTCTGAACACCAGGGTCAGATCAACAAGTCAACATCAGGTGAAAATAAAGTCTATAATTACAAGTAGGGTTGCACGATAGGGCTGCACAATATATCATTTCGGCATCGTTATCACAATGTAATGATTCGCAATACATCACGAGTATTTGCAATGTTGAGTCTGGATTATAAATGTATCATTTCACAAGTGTTTTTTGAGGCCTATAACTGTATGAAGGTTTAGAAAAAAACATTCAGGCATAAAAATTAATAATTTATTAACATTTTATTGAATTGTTTATAAAACAAAGACTATGCAGTAGGGCTAGGCGGTAAATCTAGTTCTGGGGATATATCAATATAACTTCCAAATGCGATGCGGGATTATCCAATATTGGTCACACACGTGGATTCTGCGAGAAACAGACCACTCCAAGGTAGCACGCGAGCTCCACTTGCACAAATGTGCACATGCGCAAATGAATGATTCACTCCATGAGTCATACAAAAGATTTGTTTAAAAAGAACGAATCGTTCAAGAACGACCCATCACTGATGCGACATGGAGGAACATGCAGTGCCAGTGTTGACTCCCCAAACAAATCTCACTCCCCCTCGCGAGCTTGTGCATCACACCATGCCTTATCGATCATTTCTTCTGCAATTGACAGTCACAACGAACATAGAAGCCTTGTCAAATTGACAAGCAGCACCTGAATGCGTATAAAAGAATTAAAAACGCCAAAATGGGACAAATTTATACTGTATTTTGAAAGTAAAACCACCTCATATTCACTTATTATTATAAGTTCAGTATTTATTACACAACGGTCTCTTCTTTACATTTACATTATAACACATTTAGCTCTGCGTTCTGCTCTGTTATTGCATATTGACTTCAATTCCGATTCTAATCATTGTATTTATTTAATTATTTAGTCATTCTGTTTGATTGATTTATTTAAGCCCCTTAACTGGAAGACGTGATTTGATTTGACGCGTGAGCCTAGTGTACAAACAGTTGGTGGTTTAAATGAGTATTAAAACAAAACAAAAAAAAAAGTCAAATATAAAAACATGCATTTGTCTACCAAATATTTCTTTTTCTATTTTAACATCTCACTGTTAGTTACTCTTTAAACAAATAACAATATGTGTTTGAATTATATTTCATTCAAAAACTTTTCGATAAACTTTTAATAAAGACTTTGACCATCAAGTAACCATTTATGGGAAAATACCGGATTTATATTGTATACCGTCATTCCTCCAAAAAACACAGAGATATCATTTTTTTGCCCATATCGCCGAGCCCTACTATGCAGTATTATTTTACATTTCATTGTTTAATTACTGTATACCTGAAGACAGTTCGACTCCTCAGAAAACAAAACGCTGTTTAATTAATTTGTATATTTTTCTTTACTGAATTGCTCTAAACTTGTAGATTATTATATTTTATGCACTCCAGTACAGAATTATCCCAATTAATCTAAAATTATAATTTATATCCAAATAGTCATTCAACTCATCTAGTGAGGTTGTATTCGTTTCGC